CAAAACAAAACCAAAACCAGAAGAAATTATTTTAATGAAGCTAGACTGAATTAGACCAAGAAAGCTGAACTAGGACTGCTTTAGAGAATAACTGTTTATGTCAGTAAAAGAGTAACGGACACTGGCAGTAGGCAGCCCTATCTTCCTGGAAGGATGAAGGTTCGCTGAAATGAAAAGCAGCAACAGAGAAAAAAAGTACTGTAAGTGAAATATCAGGTTAGAGAGAAGAAACAGCACACTGGTCTGGAATAAAAATAGTGCTAGTGTGCAGAGACTGCACGGGCAATTTAACATCATGGGAACGTGTGAAAAAAGAGGCACAGGATAGAAATGTGAAGAGAAATGAACAGATGTTTATAGTAATTCTGAACAATATCTATTGAAGGTACTAAAGCAATGCAGGTGAACAACAAAATAATCAGAAACACTGTGAGGTAACACATGCTACATAATTGCATATAAATAGAAGTGAATATGCATCTTTTTCTGAAAAAAATAAAAACCACCATTGTTTCCTTAGTATTTCCTTCTTATGATACCTCAGCTACTTTAGAATAAAACAAAAAGAGAGGCTCCAGATTATAAAAAAAACTAAACACCCTCTTTCGATGTTGATTCCAGTGTTTTCACTTGTTAATTACTGTCTGCCATGGGAAACACATGACCCTGTTTCAGCTAGACACCAGTTTCTTCATTTCCTGCCCTAAAGTATTGGGTTTTTTCTGCTATTGCACGTTTTTGAACAGTTGCCCTTTTCTATCTCAGACACAAGAGAATGTCAGTGGTTGGTGCAATGAATTCTCTGGTGGTGCATCACCGTTAACAAACACTGAACATTAACAAACTTGAAAAATGCAGAAGGGGGGTGGGCAGAGAAGGTGGAACCTTGCTGAACTTTGCTGTAAAAAAAACCCCCAACAAACAAAACCAAAAACCGGAGGCAGACTCATCAGCAGAAGAGCCTGTGAGGGAATCTCTGCCACAGGGTTGCAGCAATCTCTGCAAAGCAGCTGTGCAAACATTTTGAGCTTGGTGGGACACAGTCTGTTCTGCAAGAGTATTGCAGATGCGTGGCCTGGGGTATCGAGCTGGGTAGTCAGAAGAATTGTCCCAGAGAACTACCTCACATCAATGAAGAAAAAGGTTCTCCCTTAAATTAATGAGTCTAAGTTACAAGAAATGATATTGGCATGAAAGATTATAGCAGAGTGACCCCAGTTAAGAGGCAGGCTCTCTGCCTTTATTAACCATTCCTGGTTTATTTCAAAGCAGAGCAATCAAAGTCCATATGTGTCACCCAAATTCTTTTAAAGCATCTTGCATACTTACACACTTTTCACTGTCAAATACATAGCACAGATGCTTATTTGATTCTGAGTCTTTGCATATGAAAGTAAATATTCTCTTGTCAGTTTTATCATCAGCGCAAAATGATATCCTATGGAGTTGACAGTTGTGCTGGACTTCCTGCAAATCAAAAAGCAGATTATTTTCAGGAAATCACTACACTTGCTTAGGATAAAGATGCACAAAGTAAATCTCTGGATTTCCTCATGTACATAAGAGCAGGCAAGTTGCAGTAACATTTTTGAATGTCTCTCATTGTACATGAGAGCACCCAAAAATGGAACATTGTAACAGAAGTCAGCAGACTCATGTCCTAACAAACATTCCCATTTTTACTGAATTTAAGCAGGAAGTATGTATTTGGACAGCATTTATCTGGAAGTGTTTATTTGGACAGTAATTTCTGTTCTAGAAAATTGGTTTTACTGTTGCTTTGTGTCCCTGTGCAATTAATTTAGGGACTGATTATGTAAAATACTCTGTTCTTTTTCCAGATGCACACCATCCTCAGATTTTATAATCTCCCAGGTTTGTCAGAATGGTTTTACTGAAATAAGTCCTTACTTTTCTATCTTAAGTACAGAAAACAGAAATCAAATTACTTTCTTATCAAAATACAGAGGCACAGAGAAATAAATTAGACATCTAAATAATTGCTTACTTAAGACACAACATAAACAGCTTTTAAACATTATTATTTGCGTATTTTTGATCCTTTATTTTACTTTCCATTAAAAAGCATGTTCCAGCTATTAAAACGTTGCAGTAGCAGTCCTCTTCAGCTGAGAGAGCTTGACAAGACTGAAATAAACTATCTCAACTATTTTTTTGTTGTTTTTCTTCAGCAACTCTCTTCTTGGTATTTTATTTTATTTGGCTTATTACATGGGAAAGCAGTATTTGCTTTAAAGGAAAATATGCAGTGTAGATGTGAACTATTATCTATTTAAAAAAAAAAAAGTAAGTTTCTGTGTGGCACTGGGGTTCCCAGATTGCTATAAGCTCATAAACAAGGGCATGACCTCTCTGCACACAACCATTTATCAAAAAATCTACCTTATGGGCCAAGTTTTCCCCTTGCCCCAACTGGGTTCATTTTTTCAGTCTTTACAGCTGTTCTTCTATGTATCCTACTTCTCCCAAATCTCTCTCGCGTCTAATCTCTTTCTGTTGCAGCTCTTTAACAGTTAGATATAACAACATATGCTTGTTCCGGCTCTTTTAGGTTTATAGATCCATAGAGCTACTTTATATCAATTTAAGGACAGAACCACTTTTCTATAATCTTCCTTTTTTGTGTGCCAAATATAGAATCAAGTCCTGATACATGAGCAGGCCTCCTGTTCCTACCACTATTAATAGCCAACACAGGAATACCAACCAATATTCCTCTGTAACAATATTGAAGTGATTTGTTTCAAAAACACACATAAAAAAATGTTGTAATCAGCGATGATAACATGGAATTTAAGTCATTTTCTAAAGCATCTATACATCGTGCAAAAAGAAGGAAAACTTGACTCAAATTTACATTTACATGTAGCTTTAAGAAATGAAGTGGGAAAGATAAAGAGACTACCCATAGTTGATTACCGTCTGCGTTGTAACAACAACATTGCTAAGAGATTAGAATGTTACTATTGCCCCAGGAACTTCCATCCCACAGCTTTCTGTTAATCTCTTGCAGGAAGAGTTAGGAAAAGGAACATATTTTGACATTCAAAACTGTTATTTTGACACAGTTTTTGCCAGGATATGGGGTTTAGTACCCCTTCCTGCCCTGTGACGTAAGGAAGGCACAAAAGCTGCAATTAAAGTTCACATGGATGTTTCTTGCCCCCTCTGCTTGTGAACTGTTGAACTGTGGTTGTACCAAGAGTCTGAAGTGAAAACGGGTTGCAAGAAGATAAAGCCTTGAACAAAAGCCACCTTTTCTCAAAAGGCGGTATTTCTGAATGGTAGCAATTACTCCATGAGGAGGATGTTTTGCCTACTATGTAACCCCTTCCAAAACACCACAGCAAACAAGGAACAGAAAACCCATCCATGGGATGACTCAATGGGCATAATTGCTGAAACACAGCAACTGTCATGCTGTGCCACATCAAAAGCCTACAATAATACTTATGGCCTGCTACATAACATTTACAGAGAAATGAGTAATGCACCTGCAAACATAAGCATTCTAGGAGGGGGGATACAGTAAAAGAAATTCAAAAACACAAGGAGGAAAAATAAATTAACAGGTTAAGGAAAGAGAGGTGCAATTCCAAAGCAGCAGCATGAAGAAAGACTCACTGCAAGCAAATTGTCTCCTCATGCACCTGCAAAGACCTACATGTGGGCACCTACACCATGGTGACCATTTAGAAAGGTGTTTTTCATACACAGTGTTAACATTTATTTACCACAGTGTTTTCATCTTCCTCAGAGTTTAAAGGTTCTGCTGTGAAACAATTAAAAGAATTAAATCCCACATCAGCTGCAGTCTGTATTTTAGAGCATCATGTGCCTTCCTGGGAAGATGTCACCCATGTGTTGTAACAAGAAATGGTATTTTAGAATAATTTTTCATTGACAGAATGGCTTTCATTATAGTACTTTAAAAAAAAAAAAACAGTAAAAATACTAAAAAGTTCAAGCAATATTTAATTACTAGTTTAGGACCATAAACATATAAGTCTCTTACCTTTGTTTTCGGATCTAGAATTTTTACACCATAGATTGAGATTTGTAATTCAACTTTGGGTGTCTTCTGGCCTTCAGATTTCTTGATATGTCTTGCAAACTATAAGATGCAAAATACAACAGCAATCCTATTATTAGCAATTTTATTTTTTTTTTAATTACTTCTCATTTCCTCTCAACTCCTTCCACCTGAAGTTGTTTCCTTCCTTCTTCAAAAAGTTCTTACAAACAACGCCAACCATTCCCAAAGTCACAGCCGGGCACAGAACAGCATTTCTGACTGCACACCATACAATACTGCTGTAATTCAAGAAAAACTATTTTAAAATTACTTAGCTGGTTCTCTTGAAACTTTTCTCTGCTGTTTACGCACTCAATTTAAGCCTCTGCACGAGATTTCCAGAAGAGCAGTAGAAACATAAACACTTCCAGACAGTTTCTCAGCCGGTTGGTTGTTGAGCAGTGAGCATCATTATGTTTTCCACATCCCCCTATTTCCACACTCACTCCTGTACACCTGCACTGCGGGTACTTCCCATATGTTCTTCTAAGGAAATTAGTTCTTTAAACAGGTTCAGTGTGAAAGCACTACAGCTGCCAACACCTAAGAAATACTTGATCCCTTCTATCCTATTCCCAGGATGTATTTGCTAACAGTTTGCTAGATGATGACTAGACAACATTTTATATGACTGGGTCAGGTAGTGTGTCCTATTCAATACATTTTCCATCCTTTTGTACCTCTTTTTCTAGCTGTTAGATCAGACTTGTATTTCTCTCATGAACACTGCATATAAAAAAGCAGAGTACCTAAAATTTGCTACCACAAGGCAGTTAACAAGTGTCATGAATTCAGGTAACTTTCTTAGGAAAGATAGGGAATTGCTCTAGATTTTGCTTTAACAAAACTTCTAGTTCCACCTCTCTTCAGTATCACATATATAGCTCTTACAGTATACACATCCTTTTCCTGTCCTCCTATTTATCTTCAAGCCCATTTCCCACACATCTAGAGTATACTTTTAATACAGTTTAATGACTAACCCCATCCCTTTATTTTAATCAGGGTGGGTCATCTCATATGCATAATTTCATCTAAAAAAATAATTTTACAGAAAATAGAAGAACCTAATCACTGGTTTACAGGCATTTTGGCCATTTCTTCAGTTGCTAGGACAATTTAAATTTGCTACAGGATTTTTTTTTTTCTGTAATAAAAATCACTAATTAAAAAGCCTCAAAAAATCTGACTTAAATTTTATACTACCAATTTAACCTTTTTGATTTTTAAGTCTCTGCTTTAAAAAATAGGAAGATGATAGGCCAATCAATGCTTTATTAGTACAGATTTCTTCCCAAGATGAATATAAAACTTAAATTGTCTTTCAGATAATTTTCATATATTTACTCAATACCCACCACTTCACCAGCTTTCCTTTTGGATTTGATTACATCCGTTTTTTTGGCTAAACCTTTGAGGACATACGTGGTCCCTTTTCACAGTACAACATGTGCACAAGTATTTCTGTGCAGTAATGAAGAAAAGGTACAAATAATATTTCATTTTACTGAGTTAAAGCTACAGTATATGTTGAGAACGATGATGAAATGCTTGGTTTCCCAACTGTATTAATTTCAGAGTACAGAACGACAGCTACAACACAAAACTTTTTAAAATAAGTATATCTGAAAAACTTGCACAAGTTTTAGAGCAGCTGGCCAAAGCTTGCTCCAAGTAGTCAAGAAATCTTACAACACTGAGGAAGTTCCAGAAGATAATTCTGTGCCAATACTAAAAAAAAGGGTAAAAAAAATGACCCTACCCCATCTCCACTCTCAAAAGCAATAAATTAAGTTGAACAACTAAGTGAATTCAAGTGAGATGAAATTAATGATGATCAATATGGATTCTACAAAAAATGCCTCTTGTTAAAATAGGCGGAGCATTTGACCGAGTTTTGCGTGCCATTATATTTGGGAAATGAAGCAACACAAAGAAAAGGATTAGTTAAGTTAGTAACATTAGTCCCCAGATGCACTTATAAACAGGAAATTGTCATTGGGAAGATATGTTTCTAATGTATTCCAGCAGGGTTTATTTCTTAAGCATGACATTATTGAACAATGACCAGGAGGAAAATAATTACTGATAAAATCTGCAGGCTGAAAAAGTAAGAGAAAAAATGGGGAGAAAAGTAACTTATGATTTGTAGTGAAATCTAAAATTGCTGCAGAGGAAGCCTGCGGATCACAAAGGCTGATGGAGGGGCACGTAACACAGAGAATTCCTCACCAACACGCCATCACAGAGTGTCTCCATGCAAACAAAGCGTCTCTGTTGCAATACCATTCGCAAATCCTACATATTGGAACAAACTTCCTTTCTTGGGAGACTACCGTGTAAAGATGGAATTCATAAAGTCTTGATGTCACGGCAGGCTTTCTGCTCACTGTGGACCTTGTCATGAAACTACAATTGAGAAGATTAATACAACCCTTGGATATTTCAAAAAGATCCTGAAGAAGTCAACAACGGCTGCACTGCATCAGCTGCTTGTGAGAAACTACTAAAATTTTATGTACTGAAGTTTCCAAATGCAGAAAGATGTTGACAAAATGGAGAAACTTCCCAAGATATTTGCAATAGTTAGCAGAGGACTGGAAAGCCACTTTCAAAGAAACTCCATCAAACCAAAATCAAGCTAATGGTGAAAGACAAACACAAAAGAATCTCTTCAACACAGACATCTAGAGAGACAAACCAGCTTTTGAATAGAAAAAAAAAATTGATTTTTTTGGTTTACTGGGATACAGTGACTGAAAAGTACATGTAGATAAATTAAGAAAAACTGGTGCAGTTGCTTTCTCAATGCTTTTCCTGCCCGCTCCCTGTTCCATGTAGTAACAGGCAACATACAGATACTGATCAGTAATTTCTTTCCTATCCTACCTTCTCCAGAATGCCAAGTTCAGCCACCTCCCAAACTTGTGCCGGGTTTGAACAGCAGATCCTTACACGTAGTCAGGTATCAGCCAATTTGCTTCCCTCCTCCGTCTATTTTTTCTACCCATTCCTCCCACCTAAAGACAACCCTGAGGGACCTCTAGACAGGGTGATTTACAAACATTATTTTCGCCTTTCAACACACATTCAAAACAAAGTAATATTTGTAGTTTTCACAGTAACATGATTATTTAAGGGGGTAAAAATCTGTAGCCTCCCATTGGCATCAAAATGGACAATGATATAAAATTATAATGAATCACAGCATGGCTGGGGAAGAGAGATGATGGGCCAAATTCTTAAGCTGTTAGTTTATAAATATAATGTTCTCAGACAAGACAGATTTGGCCTAATAATAGTATAAGCAGCTCAGTGGCATAGGCTAGCTTTTAACTGCTTTGAAATCATCTTTTTCTTTAATGTTTTAGGGAAAGCAACAGATACAAATAGATGTGTTTTCTAGGGTTTAATTTGGCTTTAAAAATAAAAAAAGCTTCCATATATCTTGTCTTTTATTGCAGTAGCAGGGAAAACTGCATACATTGAGACTCTTACTAAAATTACATTTGAAATGCTTATGCATCAAGTCTTAGCAAACCACAATCAGAGGATTAATCAGCAAAAATAATGAGAGGAAAAAAAACCCACCACATTTTAAAAACAGACAGGCGCTTTAGTTAAAGAAATAATGATTAAAACAAATTCTATCAAAATCAATTTAAGCTATGCAAATCAAAACTATGTGCTTTTATTTAATATTTACATCTCACTGCAAAATTCAAGAGAGTTTATTAAAAAAACCTTGAAACATTAAGGGCACACATTTCTGTGACTTGGGTGCTAATCTTCAGCCCAGGGAATAGAGGTTTAACTCCTTCATTTTACGCAGGCTTCCAGTGTGACATCAGACATTACAGTTCATGTGGACACCTTAAAAGATGTCTAAGGGCAACGTAGTTGTCTAAGCTGAGACACAGCTTTATACCTGGCTTTGAGAAGATGCATTTCTTCTTTCTTCACAACAACATTCATTATAAGGAAAGATGACTGAAAAAAAAATAATAGGCTCTATTTCTTTCGCAGTGACTACATACCAGCTTTTTGGTTATATTATGGTCCAAAGTCTCATGCGCATTTTATGCGGGTATAATGAAATTATGACCTCTGAAAAATAGCTGTAAAGGAGAGGAAAAGGATGAAAAGGTCACAGATATGTGAACTTGAATCTCTTGATAATCAGCTGAGTAGGGAAAAAGCTGTCTCAGAAATCCATCTCTATGGAATATGTTGTATTTTATTTTCCAAACATACTGAATTGAGTGAAGGCTGTTGATCTATTAACCACAGTGTGGAAGACAAGGCAGTGCAGCCTTTTTTGCATCTCTCACTCCTTGAAAGGTTTTTTTGTTGTTTTGGGTTTGTTGTTGGGTTTTTTTTGGGGGGTGTTGTTTTTCATGTTGTTATTTTGCTTGGTGGTGCAGGGTTTTGGGGGTTTGGTGGTGAGGATTTGGGGGGGGGGGTTTGTGTTTTTATTGATTCTGTTTTGTGTTTTTGTTTGTTTGATTGTTAAGATTGAGAGTAAACAGGTATTCTCTTCTTCAGTTCTTCTCATCTGATCTGCTTTGGTCTTCAGACTGTCCCTGGCTGGTCCTGAACCACACATTCTGCTTTCCCAAGTACTTCAAAGAGAACAGATGCAGCTGTAAGGCTTGACTGGAAACCTCTTCATCCCAACATTGAAACATTTTCTGCACTCCGCCCTCCTTTCAACAACAAATGAAACCCAGCTTTAACACAAAAGGGATCTCAGAACAATATCCATTGATGGTCCATTAAGGGCAGCAGCAGGACATCATCACAGCTTGTGTGGAGGTGTGTGTAAGAGCACTCTTACTTTGTGTGTCCTTAAGGGTCAAGGAGGTGATGAAGAATATTTCAAGTGGCTTCAAAGTGATTAATTAATTCTATTTATATTATCTCTGGTCATCTTCACTTAGAGAAGAAAAGTGGAGGAGAAAAAGAGTTGGAAGTTGGGTAAGAGAATGGCCTTAAGTTTGGTCATCACAAAAAAATTCCTTTGAAGACAGTAAAAGGAACAACCCAAAACTCAGGTGTTTACTTCTGGTTTCTCCCTAGCAGCCCTCCACACCATTTTCTTAATAGTGGTCTGGTTATGCTGCCCTTTCCATCTGTCATGCTGATCCTTCCACCCGTTCTCACCTCTGGTTACCCTTTCAAGCACTTTTTGGACCAAATCAATTCCTACAGTCTGATTTAGAATATCCTTCATTAATCAAGGCAAGTAGCCATTTCACTTTATAAAACAGAGTTTGATTTGACAACATTTACACACTTGAATAATGCAGGCATGTTCTGACACATCGTGGTACCATTTTCCTTAGTTTTTATTTCATTCTAGAAATTAGTTTGACTCAAAAACTAGAAGGAAAAATTTGTTTGTAATAAATTATGAGAACAGTTCACCTTATCTTAGAAATAAAAATACACATTTTAAAACATTAGTGTCCAACTTTCTTCTTTCTCCTGCAACACAGCTCCAAGAAATTTGAAAATACGAAGGGGAAATCCCAACTAGATAAAACCACTGGGCAACCCTTTAGAAAAATTAAATATAGATACTAGAAAAAAAACTGTATATCCAAACTGTAACTGACACAGCAAAATTAGCAATTAGCAATTGTTTAGAAAATGTAGCAGTAGTATTTGAGATTAAAAAAGTACCATGAAGCATCAAGAAAAAATTTCCTCCAAGTTATTGTATTTTACTGTAGAACATCAGCTCCACCTGCTGGTAAAAGTAAGTTCTGGGATGGCGTGTTACAGTCTGGCACAAACCTACATTTGGCAAGTGAAGTCTTTGTGCTGTATGAGTTACAAGCTTTTCATTTAGGGAAGTAAAGAGTTGTATATCAAAAGTCTATTCTGACACAGTTTGGTGACACTACGACTTAAGAAAAATAGTTTACAGTGACTGTATTTCATGGTCTGTATATCACTGTAAGCACATGACTCCGAAAGGTTATTAGTGCGATGCACACCAGCTGTAAAATAGCTCCAAATATCAAGAAAGTCACTTGTTTTTCTGCTAGCTATTAATTTTCACTAAAAACAAATCATGATAACATTGTGATTAAACGCAAATCCATATAATAAATATATATATATAGCATCACAAGCTACACATCTTTAAAAAACTCTCCTAATCCAAAACCCACTATATATGTTTTCTTTCAATATAAGATACTAGTTTTCAAGCTGGTTTAATTGGTTCAATATTTTAAATTCACATTTTCTGAAAACAAGCTAGACATGTATGGTTAATAATAAAATCCAGTACCTCTAGGCTTCTTTTCAAAGAGTTCACATGCAGAACATAAATCAGTGTTGAAATAAGTATTCAATTAACTGAGGATTGTTTCAAACATAAAACGTCTTTACTGCTCTCTGAATTCTGTTCCAAGATTTTTCAAGTATTTCCAAAAGTTGTCTTTAATTACTGTGTGAGTTTTCTAATGAACTTGTGATTATTTAAGATTCCATGCAATACTTGACATCCAAGCTCCAAACTTCCAAGCTTGAAGAAGATAGTGTAATTCTGGCAACAATTCAGGCACGTATCTCCAAGGCAGTTTATTTAGGGAACACGTGTGAAAAGTTAGAACAGATATCTACATACTCAAATGACACCACAAGAATATACAAAAAAATTCTACTGTTAAATTGTAGTGCTAGGCTGACAAAATGGTTTTTTTTCCCAGAGAAAACAAAATGGCTCTGGCTCTTCCTACACTTCAAAGAATAGTTATTTGAAATCCTTTTTGGACCTGTTTTCAGAGCAAACTATTTCAAGGGACCACATCATACAGTCCAACCCACAGAAAGCCTCCAGTGATCAGCGAGAGCCCAGGTTAGCCTGGAGTGCCACCAGTGAGACATAGACACTTAGCAGCTGCTTTCCTTAGGAATCTATTAAAATATCATCAAAACAGAATCAAAGCTTCTCCATAGCAGGATACTAACTTGACAGACCTCTGCACAGAATTAACTCTGCTCAGGGTAATGGAATTCTATAAACACAAAACATCAAACGCAATAGTTTCCCTCCAGTATTATCTGTAAACTGTACGAGGTGTGCACAAACCCATATGCTTTGCTTCCACCGGTAGCATGCCGCAATGCTTAAAAAGGGTCACGCTCACACTAGCCTAAAACTCTTGAAAACAACTAGGCAATAATGTCTCTGATGACCTGTAGTAGAGAATCTTTTTGGCCTAAAACATTCTAAAGGCAGCTGTACTATTTTTGCAGAGCAAAAATAATGGTGAAGAACTTCTGTTTCAATACCTTAATGCAATTACTAATCAGTCTTGTAAAAATGGCTTTTTCAAGGGAAATCTCAACCTTAAAAGCTGAGCTACATGAATACTGTTTCATGCCTTTTTCCTTCCTTTTTTTATTATAGTAATAACAGAATCAAGTTTTTCACAATCAACTCCTAAAATTTTCTGTACGTTTCGGAGGAAGTTCTGTTTAAATCAATACTGAAAACCCTACAAAAAGTTATGGGAAGTACAATAGAAGGCAGAACAATTTTTGCATCTAAATGAACTATTGCTCCAATAGCTCTAAGCACCTAAGCACGAAACAGTGCAATTCCACTGCAATGTGAGCTAGCAGACAAATCAAATCAGCATTCCCTGTCACAGCTCACAGCATTTGAAGACCTTTAAGCATATCAGCTGTCACTCAAACAGTGAAGTCAAAGCCAGGTTATCAATTAGCAACCCTCAATGAGTCATTTCACTAGGATACTTCCTCATTGTTCACCAAGTCCCTCAGTGCACAAGGACATATAACTGAGAAGAAACTGTAATATCTGACTTTCTCGGCCTCCTGGGACTGTGCACCAGTACATGGATGGGGTTTGTGTGCACACACCTTTTCCAACCTAACATGAAGACCCAGAGAACAAGGCAGTAATGCCCCTTATAAACACTTTTGTATTGGTTTGTAAACCCTATTCTCTCACTGCAGATCTATTTCCAGATCTATCACCAATTATCACAGCTGGAGGGTGAATGACATTCATGCCAGTGCCATAAATCTTCACCCCCAGCCTATAAGTTCACATGGACCAGACACGTCAGCTTTAGATGGAGCGTAGTCAGGGACATCCAGTACCCACGGAGCTATCACAGTGCGCTCATGGCGTGGTTTGACATTCTTACTCCTGTTTTCTGGCACCAACAACTTACCTTAAGTGAGTGGGTAATCCGTGTCTTGCAACAAGAGGTAACTCACCTAACGGGCCCAAAAGAAGCACTGCACAGCCCAGAGAAATGCAGGACAGGCATTACTGAAGTCACTAGCTACTTGTTCAAAGAATAATTCATTTTTAAGATTCTCTGGCAACATGTTTTAAGTGCCATAATTAGAGGCATTCAATATCCATAATGTGAGGATGGCAGCTAAAACAAATTGTTGCTACTTAAGCTAGGATTAATAAAGCTCTGAAGTTTCCAAAAAATAAGCAATACACATTAAGGTACAAAAACTTTACCATAGATAATTGTGTAATTTAGGAGACAACTAAATATATGTACAACAGAACACATGATAATATGGACACAACAGGGAACTGTCTACACACCAGCGAAGAGATTAGTAAAAGCAACTGCTGCTACTAGAAATCATGAATTTACCTACAAACACTTACAAAGTGTCTTATCTGTGAAAACAGGTTTAAGAAGACGTTCCATTTATATTTCATTACAAATGCTTTCTTACCTTTAACTTTCTAACAGCATCTCTTACAACTTCTGTGCCTTTGGGCTGCTCCACTTCCGTACTGCCAAGAAACTGAAAAGATTGTAATTTGTGAGAAATAAGTTACACACTGAAAGGCCTAATTGACTCAAGTAATCATATTTTCCAATTATTTCCAAATAACATTTTGGAAAGATGGTAATTTCAATTGTTAGTAACAATCTTCATACAGCTCAAGAGAATAACAAGAATTACATTTTAATTAGACAAACACAAGAGTTATCTAAAGTTATTAAAACCCATTTTATTTATCTCGATCCCATACAAGTCTGTAAATTAGAGGTTACGGAAATTGTAATGTTAGTAATATCATCTCTTTTGGAAAATAATGAAAAGACGCAAAATAATGCTGACATAGGATACCTCCCATGAATCAATATGAACCAAGGGTTTGGACTATGTCACTGAAACTTTCCTACAGTGGTGCAAGATAAATTAAGGCCTGATTCTGCTCTCAGAGCTGCGTGGTACAGTAACTTCAGAGATCTAAAGGAAGCAAGCTCCAATTTACATAAAAACAAGGCTCATATTCAAAGAATCTCTACTAGATACCATATTTTTACCCAGTAAGATTTTAACAACAAACAAACATAAACCTGCTAATACACAAGCATGACATTTCAGAGGGACCTTACCATTTCTTTATCTGTACACTCAAACGCCTTTACATTCTTCTGTACAGTTTGGCTTGCCACCTACTATACTGTTATGAAAGCTGAGATAATCCTGCTCAAACCACACTTGTGTAATAATTATGAATTGCCTGCCCAATGTTCTCATTAAGGTACAGTTGATTTAGTGACACCATGTACCTGCGTATGCCAAAATAATGCTAGCAAGAAAGAACAAGCCCCCTTTTTCTCCAAAGTACACAATTTTCTGTGTAACATGATGCACAGAGGTATAACTTTTAAGTCTTAGCAGTTTCAAAAGGAACTTAAATTTATCCAGCCACAGATGCTTTCAACATCACAACTCTCAAGTTTTTAATTTTACTAGAACTTTGAAATGTGTTTACTGTAGTCAATGTGCTCAAGCTCTCCTCCTGCAAAGAAACTGCAGTTCTACAATAATTAAGTCTCTTTAGAAATTTGCTGCTGACTCTGAAATATGATGTGCCATCTCAAATGAACAGTGTGTAAATCAAAACACCAGGCCTATCTGCTGTCAATACTCTCTAGTATTACAATTCTCCATCCAGGAGACCAAAGTTTTGTTATTACAAAGCAGAAACCTCTATCATTGAATTGTTGTCTTGATGCAACTTCTCCAATGCCTTTAATAGAGGATGTGTTCTTCCCCGGAAAAGTGACAGCTGCAGAAAACGCATAAAGAGAAAGAAGAACGATTCTCAGATATAATGGGGACCAGATGGACAGAGACAGAACGGGAAGAGAGAGTTAATATATGTGAGCAACTGTATGCGAGTAAAAAAAAAAAAAAAAAAAAAAGTAACCACAAGCTTAAATGGACAAGAAAGGAAGTAGATAAGGTCAGATAAGAATCTAAGAGGAATGAGGGTAATACCAGACCTCTGTACACAAGTGTATTTACACTACACGCTTGGCACAACACAAGAGGTAGAATTATAATTGCTGCAAAGTTTGTGAGCAGGCCAGGGTACATTACACACTGTGCAGGAATCCTGCATAACCACCAGAAATAACAGCTGCAGGTGTGGACGAGGCTCCATGAACAGAGAACACAGGCCACTGCTGTCCAGAGTGGACTGGAAGATGGCTGAGCGTACTTCACTCATGTGTGCTTCCTAATATTTGTGTGGTTTTGAAACTGGCAGCTCCAGAGGCACCAGCAATGTAAGCAGCCTGGTACTTCTTGATACACATTCAGGGCCAGGCCTTGGGTGGAATTGTGTCGAGTTCACTTCTAGATGCCCTGCGGTATGCTGCCTTGCCTGCAGCCACTTCTCCAGAAGGGCATAGGACTGCTCTACATTTTTGTTTTCTGATTTCCATCCAGAAGACTGAGATCTGAGATAGCAAAAGACAGCTCAAAAGACATAGATCCCCTCCCCTTCCCTCTCAGCTATCTCCCTCTGATTCAAAGCCCAAGAAAGATGAAGGTATCTTTGCTGTATTCAATAAATCCCTCAAATAAAACAAGAAATAAACAACCAAGACTGGAAGTATATGGAAACATCATGAACATTGTATCAGTATTTATGGAACACAACTAACCAGAATTCCACCCATCATTCACGATGCACTGTCTTCCAGGTGAGTATCGGTTTTGACATTAAGCATCACTACTGAAATTTTTACTGTTCTCAGCAGTTCTGAACTGGATATGGAATTAGAGCTTACGCTTAATAAAATCTTCAGCACAGGAAAATATAGTGAAATGCATTTAATCCACAAATACACAGGAGATTTGTAGCATAAGCATTAATATCAATCAGAGATGATGAGACCATGCCATGGGTTGCACTGTTTCTATCGGATACATATTTTTTCTCTTAACTGAAGTTCTTTTTTTTTTTAATTCAGGTAAGCTCAAATTTTAGTCATAAACTGCTTACAGGTTTCATGCCTGACCTTTGTAAGATTTCTCATTTGATTTATGTATTTTTGGTAACGCAAAATAGATTGATCTATTTTGGGGCAAAATATTAAAAGAGTTTCACATAAAACCAATTTATTTTCTAATTATAACAAAAGAATATGCAACGCAGGTTTAACATATAGCTAACGTATCAACCGGAGGCTTTTTATTGCTTGCTTTTTCATCCGCTCTGTACCTTTTCTGTGTGATTTGCCCTATCATCGTATTTTGTTTAATATTAGTTACCAATTACTATGGCATTACTCCTAATAGTTAAGCTAAGTACATACACATTTGCAACGCTGAGACTTCAGATGACAAGCTCCATGTGATGAAGGCCCCTGTGTTTGTACAATCCCTAATAATCTCTGTGTTTGTATAATCCCTACAATAAATAATAATTATAATAATAGATAAACACAGTGGATGTACTGCCACCTCTGGGATTTCTGAAGTAAATAACTAACAGCTAATTCACCCCCCCACCCCATTAAATGCAGAGATGGCCATTTCATTATGGTCTTTTCAGCAGATTTTTCTCACCAAATCTCACACAAACACACAGAACAAATATTTGTTCTATCAGGAATTTGGTACAGCTGTATAGTATAAATATTCATCGCGGAAGAGTTTCTGCAACAACAATTTCAAAGTAAAATTGGTAAATACAGAACTTCCCTTTTCAAGATCAGGCTCCTTTAGAAAGCAATACTGATGCAGAATTCTAGATGGGAACTTTAAAAATCAGCAATTGCTTGGATCCCTCCAGGTTCCCTCCCACAGCTCTGGCCCTTTTGCAGACCCAGCTGAGGAGGAACGACAACACCACCACAAAATGTAACTGTTCCTGAGAGTCAGGCTAATACAACTCCTACACTTAAGTGCAGAAAATAATGTAGCAGTCTCCCTTCAGATCATTCAGTATTAATCCTACCTGCAATTTAACAAATACGTTAAATTCTTAAGTGTTCATTAAGATAAAATACGTAATACAGAGGAAAAACGTTCATATATGAATGTTTCATGTATTTACTGTTTGCAACTAGTAGAATTCTTGAAGTTGGTATACTTCATGCACAATAAGCCAATTCAAACAAAAATTATCAATAAATTAAGCATGCCACTAGACTCATCTTTTACAATATTTATGTATTGCTAAGTTCAGTGCTAATGAGAAGTTCACCATAATCACACTGAGTTTCAGTTGGATACTTTAAGAAGTTCGAAGAGTATGACATTTAATATTTTGTATAACATAAAGCAAGCTAAGGCAATGTTTTCCCTATATAAATTACTACATCTTTTTTTATTGTAGTCTGACATTCTTCCAAACATATCACCTACAAAACTGATGAAAGGTTATTTTTCCAGGATATTACTTATTCTGATCTCCCTTGCAGCTGCCTATAATCAGAAATAACTTTTACGAGGTCAATAGATCTTATCAGTCAAAACAGTTTAACTGTTCCTTCAAAGTTGTTCTTCCCTCGTTGATGTTTGCCATTAAGAAAGTGGGCTGCTGCGCAGTCATATACCAAACACCACAGGTCAAACTGTTTATAATCCAGGATTAGCAGACAACCAGATGTGCTCACTCCGCATGCAAAGATTTGCAAGATAATGCAGCTGCAGAGAATTAGCAGACATTATTTCATCATATTAGAATTAACGGAAGTTTTGATCATTGAAAGCAACTGGGAGAATAACTCAGCCCCATAATGGCCAGGAGGACTGTCTTACACAACAAAGTAGTAAACAGACCCTTTGCGGGGAATGCCTCTTCCTTCAGAACACAGTTGAAATTTTTCCTACACATTTAAGTACAGCAAGACATGTCTTGGTCCAATTCCATAGTGAAGTTTTTAAAAACACTTTTTAAGTTGTGCTTTGTCTGAAGAAACCATGAAAATAAAAGAAAAAGTATTTTTCACTTTTATTTTGCTGGCTCAATTAAAAGTCAATTCAAACATAGGACAACTTCAGGCATTTAGATCCTTTACATTTCTGACAAGTCTATTGCTGTTACCACATGTGCAATACCTATTAGTTAGGTCAGATGAATCGTTAAGGTTAACCATTCCTTTTTTTTCCTTGCCACTAACAGGAACAGTCTCTGGTAATTCCTCCCCCTGTCAGCTTACATTTTGGCTCCCAACATTCTGGGTTTTTCACATGCAAAGTACATCCAGGTGCTTTTCTTCAAAACTTAACAGGGAATATAAAAAAATCCATCAACCCTTAAGAAAAGTTTTTTCACCAGGGTCAAAAAAAAAAAAAAAAATCTTTAAACCTAAGTCTCGTCTAAGAAATAGCTTTAGGTGCACTTTTGAATGTTTAATGTAGACTTCCGCTCGTCCAGTAGAGAGCAGTGTAGGATATTTTAATAATAAAATAACATCTGTTTTCTTTTGTCATCTTCAAAAAAACACCAGTTTTTCACAGTGCCACATTTTTCTGAAATCTCTGAACAC